TATAACTTCATGCAGTCATTTAAAATATTGTATAAAATCTGTCTTTTTTAAAATTGGATTTTCATATTTCATTGCTGTTGAAAAAAATATTAATTTAAAAAATAAATTATAAAATCAGAAATGTTGGCGGCACATTGTCCACATAGTTGCAAGTTTCATACAATAAACATAATTTTGGAATGCTTAACTGCAAAAGAATGAGGATTCAATTTCAGTTCTAATTAGAAAATAAGGAAAGGAACTCCAATAATACAAACATGTAAAATAATTGATGGGATATTATACAAAATATGTAGGGGGTCCATTAACGTAAAGGCATTTGCTGACTAAGATACATATTACTCGTAAATCAATTTTATATATGAATGGAATTGCATTTTAATATAGAGCCTATAGCTTTATCGCTGTCTTAAAAGGAAACATTAATAGTACAAAGGATGTCTACAAGAGACTGGTTCAATAATTTTAAAAAAAATACAATGTAACATGATTTCCTGGAAACTTCTTACTGCTCTTTTCTAAACCGGCGCAAATGTCACTATGATGTAGGTATTATTTATTCTAATTAACCATTTAAATCCACATAAATCTCTTTGATGCAAATATTGTTACATTTAATGGATTGCTTGCTTTTTCTGTTACATATCCCGCCATCTTGTCTACTTCTGAGAATACTAGATGCATGTCCGATGGTTATGAATCACATGTCTACTAATTAAGGTTTACACTTTCAGTCCTTTTTTAGCCTCCTTTACTTATGAGGTGTTAAGATCTCTGTTTATGATGAGACATTCTTGAAACAACGTTCTTAAGGATTTCTATGTGGGCCTTCTCAACGCCTGTTTCCTGTAAAGATGAATGCTATCTCAATGACGTATCCCAAATCATAGGAATGAACATGAAAAATTCACTCACAAACATTGAAAAAAAATGCAAAATAGTTCATTGTTTTCAAAAGTTTCCTAAAATTTAAAAGTAATTCATGTTGCAAATTTTTATTTAATAAGATACGCCAGGAATGAGATACAGACTGAGATTACAAAGATCAAATTTGATGTCGAATTCCCGTTTTGCACATATTTTTTTTAATGCCGGAAATTCAAATGTGTGCAAAACGGGAGGAACAAACCGGTTTCAATTTTTACACCCTGAATTCACACCTCTTGCAGTAATTAAACAAAGGGATTAATCTGCGCACATTGAGTAAACAGGTAAAAAGCTGCAAAAGAACTACCAAGGAGTACATACACATTTGAATGATTCGTCTAAAAACAATGATTTGCCTTTTGCCAATTTGTTAAAAATTCCCGATTGGCGACAATGGCGCATCAGAGCTCACAGCCCGTGATATTAAAATCCAGGATTTTAATTCACTCTTAATACAAGTTCGAGTTTTTGTTTAAGAAATACAACACAAATAAATTAATGACTGTGTAACATTACTTGATATCAATGCAAAAACTTCATTATCGGTGATATCGAAAGCATTTTCGAAGTATTCGACCGAAGACACTTTACAAATATAAAACGGTGGAAAGGACGGAAGTATACTCGGTACCAAAAAGTCTTAGGTCTTAGACTTTCTAAGGAAGGTCGCCAAAAACCGGAGTCAGTTCGTATATGCTGGAACACATTCTATCCATCCAATTATACAGGCTCGTCGCATTGCTTAACTTGGCTACTCTATTGCATCACTAGAAAAGCTACAGTATAGCTCTCTCGCGAGACTGTATAAGTTCCCTATTTTCTGCATCGTGAGCATCGTGTCTTGGGCATGCATATAACTTAGAGAGAAAGCAATTTCACAACATTTACATGTATGAACAATAAGGAGATAACGAACAGTATTCAAGCTCAAAAGTCCATAAAACAATGCAAAATATGAGCAGAGCAAACACGGACCTCCAAATCATCAGAAGTGGGATTAGGTGTCGTGGAGAAGGAAATATCCCCTGTCGAGGGTTAAATTTTGTTCAACGTAGGAGTGAGCACCCAAATGAATTTGTCTGTCATACCTCTGTCTTGGACATGTTTATAACTCAGAGAGAGAAAACAATTTAACAACGTTTACAGTATATATGTATGAACATGGAGATAAGGAACAATATTCAAGCTCAGAAGTCCATAAAATAATATAAAATAAAATCAGAGCAAACATGGACTTCCAAAACATCAGAGGTCAGATCAGGTGCCATAGAGGAGTGAGCATCCTCTGCCGACCGGTCGGTTGGCATCAGGTACCATGGAGGAATGAGCATGTAAGGTAAAAGCTGCGCCCAAATGAATCGTCTGTCATACCTCTGTATTATAACTCAGAGAGAAAGCAATTTAACAACATTTACAGTACACATCTGTAAATATTGATGGTTTTTGTTTTTCAACTGTAATCACATGTCCTCTAACTTTTATGTTGCCAATAATTATTGACGTTGAATTTATTTTAAAAACCAATTTGGCCATCATTTCTTGTTCCTTTTCCTTTTCCTAAAAAAAATACCAAATTAATTTTGCCTCTAAATAGCAAATATAAATGTTCAACCTTCTACAAAGATGACGAAAGTGCAATAATGCATGGATTTAAAGGATAAATATAGATATATCACAAGATTTTGAACAAACTCTCTCCAGCGAAGGTCAATATTCTTCATATAAGGAGGAAAACAGAGAAGTTCTTTATTTTCACCGATTATCAATGTGCGAATGCGATTGATTGTGCGTGGATAAGTTAATCTGAGTGTTTGGAATTATTATTTCTAATGATTTACTTTTACTTTTGTTCTGGATTTTATTGTGAACTTCGTTATCCTTACGGTAATTTCTCAATTATAATCATATGAAAGAATCATGTACATGTTTTTATACCTTTTCAGTTATATGTTTTTGAACACATTAAAACGCTATGTTCAACAATATTGTTTTATTTTGCTTTTACAAAATATTTATATACATGGACATACATTTATCGAATTTTCCATCAAATGTACAGTATAGATCTTTAACTTCATGAAAACAATGAAAGAGGATATACATGCATCAACATAATCATGTTTGTGGAGACTATTGCAAAAATTTACAATAGACATGGATCATCTAATAATATTTAATTTGTGCAAGTATTGTTACCGCTCATTATTACCATATTTTAATTGATATTATCATAAACAATCATCGTTTTACTTGCATTTTCTTTTTCCTTTCCTTGATAGAAAACAAATATTGGCTGGCATTACTAGACATGGACACGGGATAAAAATAGATGTATCATATGATTGTGAACAAAAAAATTCACAGCGAAGGTCAATACTCCTAAAATAAGGATAAATCTGAGAGGTTGTTAATTTTACTTATTTTCAAGGACGAAATGTGGCTGAATCTGCGATGATCTGTTTAACGTAATATTTGGAACTATAATTGCTAGTAACTTTCCCTTTTGACCTGGAATTGGATATTTAAGTCTTGTATCCTTAAGGTAATTTCTCATTTCAAATATATGCATGATTGATATGATTATAGAGAAACATTTTCCAAATATTGTTTGGCATGAAACTACTACATAAATGATTTTTTCATCAAAAAACAATGATATTCATATATATATGCAAGTGACAAATATTTTTTTTTTCTATCCGTTCACAGTAAGGAGAAAATATATGCAAAGACCTTGAACGGAAGTTCGGTTTGGTTGTCGCATTTTCTATTTTGTTTCATTGTGTGACATGCCCAGGGTAGCAAGAATGCTCAGTTGGTGCAGCAACTGACTTGAGCTTAAGGGGACCAGGGTTTGAATCCCAGTCATGACCTTTCTTTTTTTTTCTATCTACTATTACAAATGGATGAAAAAATGTTCACAGTAAGGGATTTTTTCTTATCCTTAAATTACTAATTAATTTTCAGCCAAATTTTTTGTTTGAAAAAGTTTCAAAAAGGTGAAATTCTTTCTTTTATTATAATTTTGATTTCATTTTTAAAAGAGTTCGGTTCTTCAACCATTTTGAAAAAAATGTATAACATTTTCAACAATTTATTATTTATTTTTGGAATGTACATTTACATAAATGAACAGCAAGTAGATATGGATTTAATAGATAAATACAGATGCATCAAATGATGTTAAATAAAAATCTGTCAAGAGAAGGACAAAATAAAGAAGAGTTTTCCTTATTTTCCTGATCATTACAGAGCTTCTGCGAGTGATTCTGCTTGGAACTGTTGGAATCCTAAGGCTTTTGTTCTGGAATTAAATGTGAACGTCTGCATCCTTCAGGTTTCTTTTCCAAATTTGCATAAGAAGAAATCATGTGATTATAGGTGCACAGGTTAATTTCTTTTTTACATGGAATTTTGAATTCAATAACAATGTAACAAACATTTTTAAGGAATAATTGTAAATATTTTGATATCTGCAACAGGAAAAGAGAAATGACATGCATGGCCTACCGGGGATCGCAAACCTGTTAAGCTGTTGAGTATGTCGCATCATTCGTTGCGTGTCATAACCCTGTAGTGTTTTGACCTGACAGAGGGAGCCTGAGTTAGTGCCATCAGAGATATTCAAGGAACAAAGAAATGTGGCAGTCAGACAGTCTCAATCTCAAGTAGCCAGATAGCTCACTTGGTAGAGCAACTGACTAGAAATACAGGGACCCAAGTTCGAATCACGATCACATTTCTTCAACGTAATTTTTTTTTTATTTTTCACGTAATTTATTTAAGATTTGGCATTTTTTGTTTTAGAACCTTTTTTAAAGCAATATTAAGAACGTGAAATTCTTTTTTCTATGAATTATAATTTAATTTCATTTTATATATAGCTCTGATAATAAAAGTTAAAATAATCACAATTTGAAAACGGTATGAAATCATTTGTACAATTTTGTTTGAAAAAAAATGTACACATATGTGCATGTATCTACAACATTCTGATCAATTTTCAGTTATTGAATTGGTTTTAAGAAGTATGAATGCCAAGGGATATTTTTTCCGCAAAGGGAAAAAATTAATTTACTGAATGGTGAATACCCATTTAGAAGCTGCATGTGTGTTTGTGCGGAAACATTGTAAAGTTTTCGGACAAAGGATTCGGGCAAATTAGAAGCTTCTTGTAAACATCAATGCAAGTAAGTAATTGATGTTAGACATCTTCCGTATTTCTTTTAAACAGAGTTATAACAGTAATGGTATAATAGAAAAAAATAACCATATTAGGAGAGGAATCTGATGTGTACATTGTTTTTGGAGAAATTTACTAAAGATTAAAATTTTGAATCTCTAAAAGATTTTTTTTATTAATTTATTGTAAGATTTCATTTAGATGTCAATCCTTGAAACAATTGACTCTGTCAGCAAAGCAATACTGAAAAAAAAATGAGTTTGCCAATAGTAATTTTGTGCAGCTTAAAAAGAATTTCTATGATATAGTGACTGTCTTATGTCACAAGTGTATATTTAAACACCTCGCTAGATAACACGAAAATTATCATCGAAGTCTTTTTTTCTTATATCTTAAGTATCTTTTATCTACTTTTAGATTGTTTTTGACAAATTGACTTCCATGTATGTGTATATTGTCATTACCTTGTATTTTACGATTGCTACAAATTAAACGTTCATGGTTCGTTAAATAATTAAAACTTTAACAAATGAACTGGAACTAAACTTTTTATAAGGTGTAGCCGAAATTTCACTTCAACAATTCTTTGAAAAAAAATGGAAGATGTTTTCTGACATTATCTTACTTAATATCAAAACATGTTCGATAAATAATCTTATAATTTCTTTGGAGAATAATCTCCCTTTGCTGAACAAATCAGATTGTCTATTTAATTACTATTAATTCTTACAGGAAAGAGAAGAAGGCAGTGAGTATAACACTTTTGCCTTTGGGATGTGACCGTCAGGACTGAGAAACCATGTCTGTATTCTACCAAAGCAGGATATGCTGTTAATATCCTTGAAATGTAGGCATGAGAAAGAAGATACTAATGAAGAACAAAACCATTTAGGTGTGGTAAAAACAGAGAGAAGAGTCGTACACAACTCATGTGACCTATTGCTATCTATCTCCGTCCGTTGTCGTCCGTCGTGTATCGATTGTTATCATTTAAACATTTTCAGCTTCTTCTCTGCAACCACTCAACCAATTTCAACCAATTTTGGCATAAAGCATCCATGGTTTAAGGGCAACAAAATTTATGAATTTCATGGTCCCTGCCTCCCTGGGGCCTGAGGAGTGGGGCCAAAACCAATTAATGCAGTCTTTAAAAATCTTCTTTACTCCTTGACATAGACCAGTTAAACTGTTTGCATGATTGTAATCAGCATTGCGTCCTCTACAATTCATGGCCCCAGGGTTCTAGTGTTAGGGCGGGGCTACATAGATTATACACTGTATAGTGAAAATTCATTATTTCTTTGAAAATCTTCTTCTCTGCTCCTGGGCAATAAATAAACTAACCAAAAAATCAGTTATGTTGAATAAAGCTGCCTCTTCCAAAATTGTGAATTTCATGGCCCCAGGGTCAGGGGTTCTGGTGTTAGGGTCGGGCTCTTTTGATTATATAGTGAAAATGCATACATTCTTTGTAAATCTTCTCTGCTCCTTAGTAATAATAAACTAACATAGAACAAAGTTATGATAAGCAAGAATGGCTCTTCCGAAATTGTAAATTTTATGGCCCCTATGTCAGGGGTTGTTAATTAGGGTGGGGCTCTATTGACAATATAGTATGAATACATTTATTCTTTTAAAATCTTCTTCTCTGCTCCTGTGTATTAAATGAATTTACCAAGTATTTGGTTATGATGAATAAGACTGCCTCTTCTAAAATTGTGAATTTTATGGCCTGTGGGTCAGGGGTTCTTGTTTTAGGGCGCTCTATTGATTATTTAGTGAAAATGCATAAATTCTTTAAAATCTTCTCCTCTGCTTCTGGGTATTAAACCAAAGAACTTTTTACATTGTAAAGATGAGGAAGGATGCTTCTTTATATTTTGTGAATTTCACGGCCCCTCGGTCAGGGGTTCTGTTGTTAGGGTGGGGCTATAATGATAATATAGTGAAAATGCATGAATTCTTTGAAATTCTTTTCCTTTGCTCCTGGATATTATGCCATTGATCTAAGTACATATTTATCATGAAGAAAGGTTCCCCTTCCAAAATGATTTAATTTCAGGGCCTCTGGTTCAGGGGTACCAGGGGGAGAGGGTTACTTAGACTGAAAATAAATTAATGCTTTAAAATTTGCTCTTTGGTATTAATCAACCATTTATGATGAAATAAAATTTTATCATAAAATTTCCAAAATTTTGAAATGTACGTGTGGCCCCAGGGTTAGTGGTTCCTGTGGGGTGGGGTACACAACTGGTTATAAAGTGGAAATGCATTTTCTCTTTGTTACTCTGATCTACCTCAAGGTATTATGTAACCAAAGTAAGCATGCCAAGTGTATTATTATGATAAACAATGGTGCTTCTTTCAAAATTGGGGATTTCATGGCTTTTTTTTTTGTTTAAAACACGAACCAACTTTAATTGAGTGAAAAAGTTGTTACATGATACTCAGATGACCTATAAGACCTGTGGACCTCTTGTTTCTTTTTTTTACGAGTTTTTGTGGAAAGACAGGGAGTAATATTCAACATGAACAACATTGTTCAACATGATTTAGGAGGCTTAAAATTCAGAAAAAAAGTAGCGCAAAAACAAATTCAAAATCTTTAAAATGTTTATAGTTTATATATATTATTTGAAGTATCTGACGTTTACACTTTACATTGACAAACTTTTGTGAAATCAGAGGAAGAGTTTTAGCATATTCTTGTCGAAGGGAAAATACAGGAAGAAAGGGCACAACTGCTTGCACAGCCATTTTGTGTTATTCTTAGAAACAGTTGACAATGACAGGACGATATGTGCGTGTCATTATGTGTTGCCCTGCTTAAAAATATTTGGGTAAAAAAATATTAAAAGTAAGCAATATTTTGGGCCATCGAAGGTTTTCATGTTTAATATCGTCATTAAAAGATGAGACAATAATTTTAGAAAAGATGATAAACAATTTTTTTTCTTTGATTGAGACATTTAAATCTTTAGAAGATTGCTGTTCAATAATGTATTTGATTCCTAGATCAAAGAAATACTTATAAGATTCATTTCTGAAATCAAATATTGAAGGTCAAGGGAAGTGATCAACGGTTGAAAAACATATCTCAGCAATGTACATTTCATTAATATACTTATTTCCTCAGGCACCATAAAATGCATGCTAAACGTTAAAAATGTCTTCATTTTGCAACATGTAGGGCAGTTAAGGTGACTATTCATTGGAGCAGAGTTTAATGAAAGATAACCATTTTCTTAATATAAATGCGAAGGGAAGATTTTAAAATACACATTTAATCTGATTAGAATGACATCTGAAATATGTACGTTAGCGTTTAACATTGATGTACGTGTCAAATGAAAAAAAGACGCTTCATAATGAAAGGAAGTATCTTACACTTGATAATTTATTGCCGAAATATGATGCATCAATTTGAAAAGAATCATCTCCAGTTTAATCCCTTTTGTGCAAGCCAGAGAAAGAATATGTACGATGATGTTATCAACCATTGATATTTTCTGATTAAAATTCACATAAATCATATAAATGTAGATAAATTAACATCTTTATATACAACCTACTTTTTTTCTCTTACATATTGTCGCCGTCAAGACGGCTTTTAATTGTAAAAACATGCATATTAGGCAATGGATTGAAATATAATAATTTATTACCATACTTTACTATTTGCCCTTTGGCTCCTTTTGTTTTGTGGGGAATCCAACAGCAATTATATTCTTATGGAAAATTTTCCCTTTTTATCTGCAGACTAACACAACATTTGAAGTGATTTTTTAACTATATTTATTTACAATTTTGACAGTAAAAATTTGACTTTTAAGCACATTCATCGACTGTTTTCATTTCCACATTGCGGCATAAAGTAATCCTACGTTGTAAAGAAATAACGAATTGTTTGGAGAATTCAAAGAGGAATGATTTTAAAATTTATTGGATCTATTAGAATTAAACTTTCTTTTTCAGATATTCGAAGGGTATTATCAGTGAGCTCGTGCTTTTTCCTTATTTACACTTGCTTAAGTTTACACACTAATAAATTCTGAAAAAAGTTTAACCTTTTAACACACACAAGTTTTTAAAATGACTTTGCTTTCTCATTATGCCTCTTTACAATCTCTTTTAAATGATTTTGGCATAGCTAGCAAATATAATCTTTCCTTTGGATCAAATTTTGGATGGCTTTTTTCATACCCATTTTTAGGCCTTTGTTTTCATGCTGAAATTGATTACGGAATGTCATGTCTACCTGAACAATACAATGAAACATATGGAAATAACGAACAATATTCAAGATCAAACGTCCATAAATCAAAACAAAACAGGATCAGAGTAAACACGGACCTCCAGAACATCAGAGGTGGGATCAGGTGCCATGGAGGAGTGAGCGTCCCCTGCCGACTGGTCACATTTGTGCTCCTTGTCATGATCCGGAAATAACGAAAAAATCCGTCGTCAAAGGGCTCAAGGTGGGTGTAACAGTTCAACAGGGGAAGCTTTTTCCTCAAAGACACCTGATCCTTTTTCTGTTTTTTTTTTTCGAGGGTCCGAGTTCACCATGGCCATCCACATGTTTTCAGTTTATAATGACACTCTGGGATTATGAAACAACTTAATAGACTTTAAGTTAAAAAATCTTCAAGTTAAATGAAATGTTACATGTATAAATAGAAGTTAAACTGAAACACGCATAATTATTCATCACTTCTATATCAGGCAAAAGCTTCTCTTTGCAAACTGATAGATTGAATACGTTGGCAATTAATTAAGATTTAATAAGTGACGAAAAAAATGGAGTCTTATTGTGTTACATTATTGTGGCGCATGATTTATTTATTTCACGTCAGTTTCTCAATATGTTTATGGTTTTGGAGATCCGTATATGTGAACAACCTGATAAAAATAGAAAACCAAGCCACCAAGATCAACCTCTAGAGGTAAATTAAATTACTTTCAAATCTGTTCTGACAATTTTGCTTAAAATACTCAGTAATATTGTTAATATCTGAAATATGGTTGTCAAGAGGAATTTTTTATTTGGGCCTGTGTTGAAGCATTAAACACAATGCAAGTTCAACTTAAGATATCACTTAATTTTATGCTAAATTAGTGGTCCTAATATAAGTAAATTAAATATGAAGATACATGTATTATTCCATGCATCCTCTATTAAGGTGACTTTGATTCATGATTCAATTAATTCTTTTACTCATTCATTATTTAAAAGGAAGGCATATGTAAAAAGCAAAATATTGCATCTAGACAAGAAATAAACAGTTAATCAAACAAAGTATTCTTCATCAAAACACCATAATAAGAAGAAAGGAAACTAGTTTATTGTTTGTCATAAAGGCACGCTTTCTGTGTCTAACAATGTTATGTTAAGAAATTAAAATGATTATATTTTTATTCAAGGATATATGAGAAATTGAATTATTTTGAATTAGAGACTTATGTATTAATTTGCATTATACAAGTAGGTCTAAGGTTTCTTCTATTTCTTCCTCGTCTGATTTATTGCGATATAAAACTGACCAATAGAAATACTTTACAGTATCACGATCCAACCCCATGATCCTACTTTTCCCAATTTTTAATCTATTTTTGAAACGATTTTGGCACCAGTAAAGCTTTATATCTCTTTGATTTGGAATAATTGACCTTTGCTACAGTACCGTCTTCAATATAATGTTCACGCTTTCTTTGTTTCTTTGACAAAGATAAAGTAATACAATTGTCAAAGGTTGTACATTACAGACAATTTGCAAGTAGGACAGGAGTCCTCCAATCAAAACTGACAACAAAGAGTTAAAATTGAAATTGCATAAAATATGTTTTTGGACTGAATGTTTCGTAATCTATTTTTTGTTTCAATCTCCATATTTACTGTTAGTCATCTTTATACATCTTGTAACACCTTGTATTATCACTGTAAAAAGTATTTTGATTTACAAAAAAAAGAAAAGAACCATTTGCTTTATATGCAATGTGTATTAAATAGTGCATTGTATAATATAACTACATGGAAGGGCTTTAGATAGATTTTTTTTATTGAAACCAATCAAAGTCGAAATCAGCACTAATTGTTGTTTTGAGGATTTCAATATTGTAAACGATTGTACTCGACACTTATGACTTTTGAGCAGATATTTTGTCATTGCAGGCACCCATCGTGACAAAGTGACCCCCGCGTCCCGCAGTGGGATTCCGTCCAGCAAAATAAGGATCTATTCCTTACTCTGTGGCACTAGAGCAAATATTAAGCCACTAGGTCATGCTATTTGTTGTCGCAGCCGATCAACATGAGTTTGGTCAAACCGTTGAGAAATGTTTACATAAGGCCTAACAGCATTAGGTAAACATCTGAATATCTAAGCTCCCTTAGACAAACATATTCGTTCTTTTGTCTGAAAAAAGCATGTTGTCTTCAAACCCTGTCAAAAATAAAGACTTATTATACTTATATTGGTTGATTTTGTCACAACTTAGTTGTCCAAATACACGATTTTGCTAGTGCATTTGTTCAACCAACATATGCCAATATTCAACAAAGTTCAATACCTCCTGTATTACATACCTAAACATTTTCCAACTAAAAACGTCAAATTAGATTTTTTTTAGTAGTGTCTGTCGTTGTCGTTGTCGTTGTTGTTCAAACTTTTCACATATGCCAATTTCAACCAAACTTGGCAATATTCAACAAAGTTCAATAAGGGCCACGCCCTTTTCCAAGTATTAATTTGTTAAAAATTAATGGCATTTTTAAAAAATCATTTTCCAAACCGCTGGGCCAAAAGATGAAACGTCAAATTAGATTCAGATTTTTATATAGGGAAACCATTTAAAATCTTCTTTCAAGTACTTCAAAGTTTTAGTGATATTTATATGGAATGATCTCAGGTAGTGTAGATTCTGTTTGTTCAATGATGAACGCCTGGAGGGGGAGATAATTCCATGTGCTCATGACAATTTATGCTATTCTGTATTCAATATCGCATAATTTCAATGACAATACCAACCTCTATAATTCGCTTAAGGTTCATAAATTGTCGGCTTACTCATATGAAATTTTGCCTGAAACTTATTGAATTTCCAAAAGAAATGTATTTTATAAGTAAAATACAAACAATTACAGCATAGCTTGCGGGGCAAAATTGGACAAAAAAAGACACTTCAACTTTGCAAATCTGTAAAGGAATAATAGACATTTATGTCATTAAGAGTTATCTCTCTTATCAGAGTATCAATGAACCTTAATCAGCTTTTGTTGGAGCAAATACGTACTTAATTTTTTGATAAATAATTTCATTTTTGTGTGCAAGAAAACACATCTAACCTACCTTCCAATACCTATCTTTTGTTTAAAATGACCGTTCGATATTGAACGCTCGCATTCAAAATGTTTCAGGCATACTCAAATACGTAAACAAAGTCAAGGTTCAATAGAAATCCAAGATACTGAAGGCTTTATTTCTCTAGATTTTTAGATTTTTTCATTACAGACTTTTTCTAAGCTATATATAAAAATATATATTGTTTCTTGTATATTCTTTAAGTTTTTGCATTGATCAAATGTGCTTGTTTTTTTTTTTCTTCTCGAAATTCTCTTCTTGCATATTTGGATAAATATGTACTTGTATATTGTATATATAATATTTAATACAATGTATAATGATAGAATATAATGATAGAATATAAAATGTTTTTGTATCTAATTTTTAGCACAGGAGATAGACTGTTTGATTGGTCTTTTTATTGATTCATTATTGGTTTTTATTGTATTTATGTATGCAAGATTTAATAATGTTTTGTATTCAAATCTCACATAATGTAATTATGATAATCTGGTTTTCGATTATTTACACGCCGTTGTTTCTTAACGTATAGAAAAATGATTTTTTTTAAAAATTCAATACACTGTTTGATTTGTTTGAATATATTGATTTGTTTTTGTTTGTTGTCCCTCGAGATATTTTTTTCATTCATAACAAATTCAGCCGCTCAACGGGAAAGGGCTACAAATTTAGACCAATTCTCGAATGGGATTCAGAGCCACTGAGCAGTGAAGATTTTTTTTTCATTCCAGCACCTACTTCGATATGGGACCTCGGTTCATACGGTCTCATCCAAAGGACCGGTCTCCAGTCGGATACAAACCTGAGACCAGAGGCCTGTTCAGCAGAGCTAACGTTTGCGAGCGCTCGCCAAATTTACAGTTGGAGGTATAAGGAATTTTGGCGAGCGCTCGCGAACGTTCGCTCTGCTGAACAGGCCTCTGTTCTTATCACACGATCAATATTTATTCACTAGCCATGCACGTTTGACCTCCTCAATCCTTTTAAACCATTCCATCGTTTAGTCACTTTAAACATTCAAGTATTGTTTTATAACATTTGATATTTTCGCATATATGCTTGAACCTGAATTGAATATTCGAATTGAGTGTACTTACATAAGTGGATGATTCTTATTTTCTCTGATATTCAATATTCGATATATTAATTATGTCTCTAATGTATATATACATACTTGTCATTTTATGTGTCACTTGCTTTGAAAGTTAATAAGTATTTAAAAAGGTTGTACAATCTTTTTTGTCAATCTTTCTAGTCATATCGATCTGTATTTTTCTTTCTTCTATATATATGTATATATCAAATCTTAGAGGATATAAAATTAAGAGCGTGTATGATTTTGTGCGTATTTGGTAAATTTGTTTTGTACATTGTATTGCACTAAATATCAAATTAAAACAATATTGCATTTGGCAAATAAAAAACACAACCCCCAAAACATAGCAGAGACTTGTGGAGGGAGAAAATATTATACTTAGGAAAATCAAGAATGATGATATAATTAGCAGTGTCGGATGTTCATAAAGTGGCTAACTGAAACAATAAAAACAGATAAAAAGTAGAAGTATGCGATGCCAAAGGAAAACAAAACAAATAAAAAATCTTGCAGACTGGCAATTTTCTTAAGAAAAAATATAATATTAATATATTCCATTGGATATAATGAACAGTATGAATGACTATTGGGGTAATTTTAATAAATGAAGAGTCCACCAGTCCCAATTGCCACTAGTATTGAGCGACAGGTCAGCCCCAAAAACGTCATTGAATTTGATACACGACGTAAGTGGAGTGGTAATTGCAACATTGAAAACAATTACTAACTACAGGTACTGTGAGCACTGAGCTCTCTAAATGATACCCTCAGCCTCCCATATGATTAAAATAGCAAGGTGCATGTTTTGAACTGGCAATAAGTGTCAGATCAAAAAGTAAATAAGGAGGTCACAATGGCTTTATGTAATAAAGAATTTGTAAAAGAATCATTACATTGAATGCAGTGGTATAGGAAGATATACGGACAGAGATGGGTATCCTTCAATTTTAAAGAAAGAATGGCAGGTCAATGTTTCGTTTTGGGAAACCCAAAATGCATGTATGATCATAAAAAAAAATATATAATTGGAGGTCACAATGGCACTTTGTAACCAACATTCTGTGAAAGTATCATTAAATTACATTCAGTTGTACAGGAGGAGTTGCGGATAAGAGATAGGAACCCCAAAGACGGACTGACGGACTCCTCGATCATAATATACCCTCCCGCTTTTCAAGCGCGGGGGGGGGGGAGGGTGAATGAAAACATGCAATGCCTAACGAAAAAAACGATATCAAATTTAGCACGTGCAATATTATCAATATTTTACGTGATAATATTTACATTTGTATCAATGACCCTTGCGGTATCAATGAAGAGTCCTTAAATTCAAAATTTAAATTGACATCAACTCACTCACCCCCAAATTATAGATACTTCATTGCACTAAGAAATAAAATAAAACTAATTTTTGAAAAAAAAGTTATATAATGTAACATCAAAAAATGACATCCCCCGCCCCCGAAAAAAAACATTTGCTGTAAAGAATAAAAAATTTTTATTCATATTCCCAATTTAACTTAATTTTACTTATAATGCCTGTCACCTGGTAAAGGAACAGTCCTTACATTACTGCAAGTTTATGAGAGACTTTTATACGGCAGGTTAAAATTAAAATCGAACCCGATCTCCCCCTTACAAAGCAAATATTAAGACTTTCTGAAACACATAGCATACCTACATCACAATATGAAAATTAAAGATTTTAAAACATATATTTGCGAATGTATCTTTATTATAATACTGAATTCATTTCATGAATTTCAAAGAAAAAGGTACAGTTTTGGCATTATTATGTCCTCAAATTTTAAATGTACTTAAAAAGTGAAGAAATTTCCTTAAATTTGAGCTGAAAAGATGAATATGATAACTCATAACATAATATGGCATGATGAATGACAATTCTGGAACATTAATATGGTACATTTTTATGTTGAAGGCAGAAAATCCTGAAAATGTCATATTTTGTTGTTTTTTCCTGTAAGAAATAATTTCAACAGTCGTTGCCCACTTTAATATTTGGATATATCGCGTAAATTGCCTTGAAAAATCACAAATATAAAAAAAAATTGTGGGAGATACTTGTTCTGTATGTTGTTAAAAAAATCCACTGAAAATTGATGTCTTCTATAAATTTTTAAGAAAATGCGCGAAAATACACGATTTCATGACGTCACAATCAGCATTTAGGAGGTCATATAATAAAAACGGTTTGTATGTTTTTACTGCCGGGATTTTTAATAATTCAGAAAGAATGTATTTAAGTTTTGACATAGCTTACATATTGTATAAAAGTACAGGGCGAAATTTAAATTGAAACCATGCCTTGTTCTTTTTTTGTGCAGACTTCATGTACGTTGATTTCATATCTGCAAAGAACAAGGTTCACTTTTGCCTAATTTGGCCATGTGGATTTCTGAAAAACTGAAACTGCATAGTTTTACTTAACAATGCATTAAATATCACTTAAATCTTTGGTGACTGCGTATCTATCAAAAATGACGTCATACTCTGGCTAGTCAATGTATTATGACGTCAAAAAATGCGTCAATTTTCTCATATCTGAAAAAGTCTACAAAAACGGCCAATTTTTAAAGCTATTTTTTGATATTTAATATAGAGCGCAACCTCTGATCTAAAATATGCAACTAGTGAATGATAGAACTGTTTCTGAGGATTAATGGACATGTTTTATATTTTAGATCAGAGAGTGCGCTCATATTATTTTTCTCCACTGAAAGTACTAAGTTACACCTACTTACCTAAAAATTCAAGAACATTGCAATTTCATAAAGCCAGTTCTCCTAGACTTGGACTTTTAGAAGAATTTTTTAATAGGGTATGAAAGCACCAAGTCTCTATTTTATTTTAATGCTTCAAATAGAAAATCAATTGTTGATCAATTAATTGGTATATCTACAGGACCATTTTATGCATAAAGTGAACCGACTTCTTTAACACATTATTTAGACAAATAAACAATTGGCTACGGGACTTCAAACTTTTGTCGACGATTAACGTATGTTGCAACCACTATTGAAATAACGACCACTATTGAAATAATTATTTCAATAACGGTTGAGAGTGCATTTCAATAACAAACATAGTATGCAACCACTATTGAAATACGACCACTATTGCAATAGTTATTTCAATAGTGGTTGAGCGTGCATATTTATACCAAACATAGATTGCAACCACTATTGAAATAATGTTCACATTTAAAATAAAGTTTTCAATACTATTGAAATAATGATTTCAAAGGTGATTTAAATAACTATTTTTATAGTTACTGATAATTAATACTAAAACCACATTGCAAGACTTATTGAAATAACTTAACTATTACAAAATACAAGGATTAATGGTTCTTTATGTTCTCCAACATTTTTAATTCGTTTATTGTGTTAATTATCAAAATTACGACTACTGGATGATTATTTTAAAAGAAGTTGAAAATACGTTTCAAAACAAGGTACCACCACATTTCAATCACTATTAAAATAACACCTACCATTTTAATAAATCTAATGCTAACTTCCCTAGAAATTTTGCTTTTTAATGTCTTGACGAGTAGACATTGGCTTAATTTACTATCCATATTTGTAGTGAAGGTATATGAGCGACAATTTAGTTCTATTCTAAATTCTTTTTATTAAAATTATCCATATTTTCATCAGAAAATCTGTACACAAAATTATCAGTCTTCTTCATTTCAATGTATTCTAGATATTCTAATTTTTACATTTACATGTATTTATGATCATTTTCTTTCAAAATCAATGCCAAAATGAACTTTATATAACAAGTTATTTCAAAATTGCATATATTAATTGATTGTCTGTTGGTTTTTGCTGATTCGGCCAGTTTTAGAGGGAGCTTGCTTATAACAATTGCATACAAGTTTGAATTATAGGTAGGGCAGTATAATAAAGAGTATCCGTAGTATTAATTGAAATTTCTACAAAAAAGGAAAACATAAAACAACTTTAGTTATCATAATTAAAACTCCATAAATTAGTTTATTGTTTAAGGAAACAGAATGTGCAATTCATCTTTATATTTGTTTTGATATTTGGGATACATCAACTACTCATTATTTCAATATCTATTGGAATTATTGTTTAAAAGCACTATTGAAATCAATATTTCAATCACTTTTAAAATCTAAATGTTAATCACTATTGAAATATTTATTTCAAAGGTGAACATTATTTTAACAGTGGTTGCAACCTATGTTTGGTATTGAAATGCACTCTTAACCACTACTGAAATAATTATTTCAATAGTGGTTGTATTTCAATAGTGGTTGCATACTATGTTTGTTATTGAAATGCACTCTCAACCACTATTGAAATAATTATTTCAATAGTGGTCGTTATTTCAATAGTGGTTGCAACAAGCAAATTGCACACAATTCTAAAGGACATTATTCTTTAAATCAAAATATTGATATTTAAAAATTTGGACAGGTTGATGTTATTATTGTGACCTATGCTGGAAATATGTTGGGAAGGATCTAAAACTGGAACACTGAACTCTGTGCTATAAATTTAATATTTTGAACTCGTATGCACATATAATCCATCACCTCCCTGAAAAAAGTACAAGCAAGAAATCATTTTGGCATCATAATAAATGTCATAGGCACGTTAATTTTATGACCAGAATGAATTATCTTTCTCTATCTTTTTAGTCCTTCATTATTTCCTCGGTTATAAAATGCTCTAGAATAATTATATATGGCACAGACGACGATTTTTTTTTTGTGTGTTAGTTGGTGCATTGAATATTGAATATAATGCATT